AACTTAGCCACATTTTCCCGAACATTTCGACGAATAAAATTCGTCAAAAATAATCTTGAGTACTGTGCCCCAGTGAAATGGTAAAAAAAACTTTTAACTATATAAAAACCTTTTTAAAGCGCAATTCGGGAGACTTACAAGAGATATGGAATCTGTGTTTTCTTCGACAATCAACGAGATCTTGGTCTTTTGCGCAGCCAGAGCTTGGCGGAATAATGGCGCTGCTTTGGCCATCTTTCCAGACAGGACAAAACCGTAACCAGTTGGATATTCTATCAGACGATTCAACTGGATATCTCCTCCTTCAAGCATACTTTTCTTAGTTGCCGCAGCGTACATGTCAAGTAAAGCTCCTGACACCTCCTTGTTGTGCATTGCGTTGATCAAATCCTCCATATTGTTGTAGGGAACAACTGAAAAATTTTCAAAGTGGAAACGCAATGAAGCTAAAATGTAATAGAATATTACCATGTTGCCAAAAATGCTGATTTTTGTGTGTTTCCGCGAAATCACACGGGAATACGACGGAAAGCCAACTTAGTCGAGCTACGGCCCTGGAAATGGTAGTTCTTGAGAATGCCATTGTCTTATTATTACTGAATTATCGCTGTGTCCGATCCAGGGAGACAGAAGGGAAAGTGTCCCCAGGGAAACCTTAACTAGCCAACACTACTCTATACAGTATCTGATATATTTTTGAACACGAATCCTATTCAAACTATCTTCTTTATCACTAAAGACGCCTTACCATCTGCATTCTGTCTAACTGCCTTTGAGTATTCAGCAGAATTTACAATAGCCCCGACCTAAAAGAAAGTTGTAATTAAGCAGTAAGTATACAATAAAATAAAGTTGTACTTAAGTAAGTACACAATAAATTCACAAAGACGTTGATACTAGATGCCATTCTTGAATTCTGAGGAAAAATAGGTAGAGTTATAGGAAAAATACTGCTGAATTCGAGCTAGATTTCTGATTTCTAAACGATTGCTCTTGTTGAAGAACAACTTTAATGCAACTTCGCAAGATCATAAACCGTTACTTTTTTCAATACATCGAAAATAGGGCGGCGAGATATCACTCCAGGTAAGCGAGATCATATGAAAGTCGCCCTAATTGGAAAATATGTGCCCAAAATATTTCTTGAATTACCTGTGCGCCATAGATTTTGTCTTCTTGAATAACCAGCACTGACGTAATCGAAGTGACGATCCCCCCCGTGACGATCGAGATAATCACGAGACCCATTAGAATCCAAACCAAAGCAAACAGACGACCGGGCACAGTAACTGGACTGCGATCACCGTATCTGAAAAAAATTATGTACATGCAGGTGTTACTACCTAAAATCACCAGCCTTTAGGCGAGTTTCTGAAGGATTGGGATTAAGGTAATACTTACGTACTAGGTTTAGGATTGGGATTAAGGACACTTAACTTTCCAATGTGGGAAATGGACCCAAGTAATCAAACCAGTAAAGAAATAAACTTACCCAACAGTTGTCATGGAGATAAAAGCCCACCAAAACCCTTCTGGAACACCTTTCGTAAACGATTCTGGGAAATGTTCGTTGTTTTGGGTACGTTCCTAAGAAAATAAAATGAAAAACTGCGATCAAATTCATGTTAAAAAAATTTTCATAGGCCAACGAATTGAAGGCGTTTGCAGAAGGTGCCACCTACATAGGAATTACAAATGGAATATTCAAGGTGGAAACATTTCCAGCACTCACCAAGATCCAAATGATAATCCCAGCGATCCACGCGAAGAAAATCATTAACATAACCAACGGCATACACGCCACGGCCGCCTGGACAACCACTGTGGCAGTTGAGGGGACATTTTTGACGGTGAAGTACGCCGAACCGGGTGCATCGACGACGGAAATGTACGGAAACACTCCGCCATAGGTCGTCATAAATCTATTACCCTGGACGGGGAAACTGACCTCAACATTTCCGCCAATATCTGTTGAAACAGACTGTAAACTGTTTTTCTGATAACTGTTTCCTGATGAACGTCTTCGTCGACGTTTTTTGTCGCAACCCTCTTCGTAGCAAAACTCGGTTTTACCATGACCGTTTTCGCAAACACCACACATGTCGTCCAGAACTTTTCTGGTTACCATAAAGAAAATACCGCCGGGCGAATTGGGATTGCTCATGTTCGTGTAAGGAGGTAAAACCCACCAATTGGAGCGAAGGTACTTTGGACAACGACATGTTTCTACAAATAGAAATCAGATTGATTTTAAAGAGGCTCGCGGTGGACACAATTGGTGCCATGGCTCATATCAATAGTCACAATCTGAACTAAATTGTGATTGGACGAAATTACTCGCAAAAGTTTGCGAGTTAGGTTTTGCGCTGAGTTTGTGAGAGCCTTAGGGCCTAAGCATTTTTGTTGAAAGAACGATTCTAAGAACTAGACTGCCGTAAAAACAGGCGCAAAGAAGGTACGTACCAGCAGCTGAGGCGTTGCTTTTCGAGCCATTCCTACTGGTATAGCCAAAGATACTGATCTCATAGGTAGAGCCAGGGTCAAGGTTTTTGAGCACGGTTGCGTAACGATTTCCTCTCACTCTTTTTGATTGAACAACTCGTTTATCGGAAGGTATGACCTCTCCAGCCAAAACTGTTGCGGTGTATTCGACGTAGTAACCACGTAAGATGCCGTTATGATATTTAGCTGGGATTCTCGTCCATTCCAGCTCTATCTCTGTGATGTGTTTACGCGTAGACATTTTGATGTCTTCCGGGGGATATTCTGGACCTAAGATAAAATGATACACGTATGTTATTGACTCTGAGAGACTTCCTCACGAAGAGATTACAGCCTGGGCAATTCATTCTTTGCTCGATTTTACATCATCATGTCATCGAATGCGACGTTTCTACACAGAGATTACAGCCTGGGCGAGTCATTTTTTACCGACTTGTTGTTATACAGGAAATGAAAAAACAAATACAATGAGCTAATTCTTACCGTCTTCCCCGGTGGAGTTTATGTGTCCTGGGGGGTATCGCGGGCCTTCACCTTTTTTGTTCAAAGCGCTAACCCAAATGGTGTAGTTGGTAAATTTCTTCAGACCTTCGACGTAGTAAGATCTTTCAGGATGTGGAATTATCCTGGACACAATCACATTACCAGGATTTTTAGTCTCGATGACAGTCAGTTTGTAACCAATCAGAATGCCGTGTGCAAAATTCGGTAGGACTGGATCCCATTCATACGACATGCTGGTCGTTGTCAAGGCAACGCCACGAATATTCTCGGGGTAACGGCTTGGAACTAAAAGTAAAATAAGAAATAAGGAAAAATACAACGTCACGGACATCGCCATCAACCTACGCCCTAACTATAAAAATACACAATCACTTAGAAAGATTCCTTCTCAGGTTCGCGTGATGTGAAATGTGTCAACTCTTTTCGACTGTTGCTTTATCCAGTGTATATTTAGGTCAGTCAGTACTAAACATTGATTGTTTCAATAATATAAATATAACTAACACTCTGAATTTGTCACAGTAATAAATACCGTATTACTACGTAAATAACCAACCTTCTTCGTCTGTCCGAACGGAGGCCCTCAAGGTCACTCCGGTACCAATCTTTGTATAAGCACCAATGTATATATCATACCACCACCACCAGAACAGTCCAGTCAAGTGACACTCCAGAGGCTTTGGATCAGATATTGGGATCTCAATCATTTGTTGTTTTCTGCTCGTATCTGCAGCACGATAATAAACACGATATCCAAGAAGAGTGCCTTGATGGTACTGGGGATCTATGGCCTCCCATTTGAGATAAATACTCGAGGAGCTGGTATTTCTAGCTTCGACCAGAGCGGGTGCTTTTGAAGGAGCTGTAAGAAAATATATAATTTAGTAGACAACACGTATATCTAGAACTGTTTCTTTCAATTCTTTGAACAGATAGGGAGACAGACAGACAAACAAACAAATAAACAAACGCCTAGACGGCTGAGAAAAACACACACAGACCAAAACAAAACAAAACGGATGGACTACTCACTTGACTCTTCCGTAGTGATGGATATCGCTGTACATTCCGGGCCATCCCCAACACTCGTATAGGCCAGAACTTTGACTTGATATTCAGTAAGGAATTTTAGGCCGGTGATATTAACTTTTCGACTACCAGCGTCTTCAAGATTTATCCATTTTACCGCCTCACCAGCAATCCCGTATGACACCTTGTATCCTTTTATGATCCCATGTCTTGCATCAGGCCTCACCTCATCCCATGTGAGAAGAACACCAACTGTTGACGTCATAGCTGTTGCATTCACATTCTGTGGCGGTTCACTCGGAACTGTTTGGGATAAAATTATATATCACAAACCAATGTAATATAGCGCACTTAACGCACTCCACGTACTGCAAAATACGCAATTATAATTACAAAGACAGACAGACAGACAGACAGACAGACAGACAGACAGACAGACAGACAGACAGACAGACAGACAGACAGACAGACAGACAGACAGACAGACAGACAGACAGACAGACAGACAGACAGACAGACAGACATTAAATAGACAGGCAGGCAGGCAGGCAGACATACCATGCTCCAAGGTGACAAAACTCGTACTAGCTTCTTCTCCACATCCGGGCGTTGTTTTGGCAGACACGTAGACATAATACTTCGTAAAATGATCCAAACCAGTAAGAACGGTCTGCAGTTGTTCAACGTCGGTGACATTATGAGTGCTACTGGTTGATGCTCCTCTTGCTTTATATCTCACGCAGTAGCCTCGTTGAATGCCGTGCCAATATTCCGAGCTCACTGTGGTCCAGGATAAATTTAACGATTGAGATGTTGGAGACGAAATGTTCAATATTTTCGGTGCCACACTTGGAACTGAAAACAAATGTTTGTAATTACATATAGTTACATTTTGTCAGCGAAACATGATGCGACATTCGAATTTGATTTGTAAAATGTGCAAAGCATAAAAAACGAAGCCATACCATCTTCCAGGGTAGTTTTTGTGACAGGTGCACTTGGGATACCATTTCCTTTCTCAGAGTAAGGGCAAATCACCATTCGATATTCGGTGAATTTCTTGAGCTCCTCCAAAGTCTTCGAAAGTTCGGTAGGGGCTACACCGATTTTCTGGTACGGTTTTGCTGCCGTTTCTTTATAGAACAAAACGTATCCAGTGAGAGTCGACGTGCTCGATGTTTCAGCTGAGCTTGGCAAAGCTGGCCATTCCGCTCTTATGCTAGTTGAATTCAACGGAGTTGCTTGCAGAACAAGTGGTGACGAAAACACTAAAAGATAATGAAGTAAGTGATTTGTGAACTTTTCCATTACCAATCTTTGCGTTAAAACTGTACACATAGTTAACATGTGTACAGTTAGAACCTTCATTAACCCACAATAAACCATTATTGAACCATAGCTTTTAAACTTATACTTTTTAGTTAGTGAATAAAGGCTTTTTGCTTATTACATCCCAAATGTTTGCTGGTTTTGCCTAAAAGTTATGATAATAGTGTCCCGAAAATGGACTGGTAAGCAATGGTACGAGCCGACGACAAATATACTCTGACTGAATACGAATCCTTTTGTTTTCCATGACCGGACTTTAAAGCCGAAATAATAAATATTGATATATTAGAATTTGAACCGAGAGAATAAGAAGATACTGTGAAATTCTTACTTACCAACAACGTATAATCTTACCGTTTGTTGAGATCATGCTGTGTAGAACGGTTTCCGTTGCTGAATCCAGCAATTTATCTTGGAGGACAACCAGCTCATCACCGGCAAGCGACTGATAGTTAAGATCCAATTTGCACTTCACTTTATTTCCCACTCCGGCGCTGAAATAAAGGGGAAATAATTGTGGGACATTCAAATAATTGTGGGATTCAAGGTTGTCCAATCAGACAGCTTGGTGTATACCACGTGCTTGGAACCACGTCTGTAAACAGTAATAACTACCCCATTATTCACGCTCGTGAGATTAAAACCTTGCCCTCGAACCTAGTAAACGGGCGGGTGGGCCTTACCTGCACGATGTAAATGTGATGTCTGGAGGATATGCCTCGTACACAGAATTTATCTAGAAAAGAATGAATGTGATATTTATTATCCTAACACCACGTTAAAGAAGACTGCCCTGGATGGTTGGAAGCAGGCACCCTAAAAATCATTTGGGATTGGTTCATTTGAACACAACAATATGGGGGGCGATTTGGATCCTCGTTTATGATATTTGATGAAAAATGCAGGCCATACGCAGTGCGTCAGCATCATGATGATATAAAGATTTAAGACTTAGAAATCCTGCTTCACGGTTTTGAAATCCGCTTCAAAATTAGTTTTCAAGACCCTAACTTTGTCAGTGAACTCTACTATGGTGGATCTTCCACACTCACCTTTCCCTTTACAGAGTTCTCGAATGCGGTCACGTCACTGTTATATTCAGTCATCGTAAAGCTGTCGAAGGTCACGTCCAACCTGATGTTAGCGGCTAAAAGAGCGAAATAACGCAGATTTTTGTTCAGTGGGTGAAAACGTCTGAATTGGTGGGTTCAAAGGAAGGGTTGTGGGGTAAATTACCCCGACGCCCAGCGTAAAATGGAGCTGCAGAAAAACATAATGCTTTATTGGTCGGTGTTCAGTTGATTCTCTTAAAACACGGGGGAAGGATTCATTTTTTTAGCCAATGTCTTAATTGGAAAATTTTTTTGTCTTTGAACAGCGAAGATCACTAAGAGACAAATCTGTTTAGGAAAGCATGTTCAGGGTTATTCACTTATTCTCTGGTCACAAACATGACACTGCTATTCTATTTTCTAACATGCGACATATGAAGCCTGCAGAAACAGCAATGTAACGTGTGTGACCGGAGAATCGCCCTTCATATATTCTGACGTTATCCTGTGAGATTCAAAACAGGTTAACATTGGGGATTGGATAAAAAGGAATAATTAGCGAAGGTCTGCACGCTTGAGTAAGAAAATAGGAATTGGGGATAGAAACAAGACTACGAAAACGCCGTTTCTGAAGAGGCTTTGAACTCACAGAGGCTTTGAATTGGAAAATCTCTTTCCAGCACCCATTTTAATAATGCACTGACTTACGCGAACAAGGAAACGTGTTGCAATTATTGGCCTCATAGGAAGGACCAGTGCAGTTCTTTCCACCATACATCGGAGTTGGGTTGGTACACGAACGTTTCCTATCCGAGGTACCAGTTCCACAAGGTTTGTTGCAGAACATCCAGGGACCCCAGTCACTGTAGCCTCCGTCAACTACGAAAAATAAAAGCATTAAATGATGTCCAGGCCGCTGATCTATATAAAATCTGAATAACGTATGGCCTCAAGAAATATTTCCCAATTCGGTGAATAACATAGAGATATAATAATAAAGAATAAAAAAGCCATTTACTAGGACAATGATGTGTGTTGCAGTAGTTTAAGTCATGGCCCGGTCCTTCACACGGTGAACCACCATGAGCTGGACTTGGATTGTCACATAATCTGCCTCGCACTCGAGTTCCGTTTCCACACTCCTTCGTACAAGTTGTCCAAGATGACCACTCGCTATAGTTTCCATGAACTAAAATAACCTTCACAATTACTATTTACAACGACTTCGCTTGGTCATGTTCGATAATAATGAACTTATTACCAAAGTTAATCTTAATCTGGTAAAGTCAATAGAGTAAAGGTTTGTCTTTATAGGGACCAGTGAAAAAGGTTTGTACATATAAGGGACAGTGAGGAAGGTTTGTCTATACTGGGGATGGCGAGAAAGGTTTGTCTACATAGAGAAAGGTTTGTCTATGTAGTATACGCACATATACAAAAAAGAATCCTATTTGAATCACATCTATATATGTTCTCTTTTCAAAAATAACGGGATTAAATCACAACGATAAATCAGATTAGATCATGACGATCATCAGATTATATCACCACGATCATCAGATTAGATCATGACGATCATCAGATTATATCACCACGATCATCAGATTAGATCATGACGATCTTACCTGGACAAGGATGGATATTGCAATCGTATGATTCTTCCCCATCCCCTTTGCACCCTGCGGCCCCAGGGGCTGGGGGCGGGTTATTACATAACCTGTAGCGGATCTCGTGTCCTCCATCACACGCCTTTGTACAGGGGTTCCACCACGCCCAATCGGACCACTCGGCTGGAGGAGGCTCTGATACAAGAGAAATTTGACACTGAACATGTCCCATTACGGTGTTCAAAGTACCATACAGGCCATCGCCGGGCGATGTCAGGTCAGTTAGCAAATTTTGTAACAGTTTTTTGTATAGTATACAGGGCAAGTTGTATGCAATTGTCATTTTGACGAGTGTAATAGAGGGCCTATGTATGCCACAAACTTTCTTTTTTTCTTCAGCGTGGAATTTGGAATGTCACGGTTGTACGTGTGTTAATACATTCACGTACCCCAGCGTAAAAATCGCACAGTATAAATGCGACAGATCGATGGTATAAATGGCCTTGATTGTATAAATTAGTATTAATATTTAAAATTAACAATTAAAATTTTGTATAAATTAGCATTATTATTGAAGGCCAGAATCAAAGAGGAATACCTGGACATTTGATGTAATCGTATTCATTGCAAGGCATCACTTCGATATCATGGCCAGTGCAATATTTTCCACCATTTCTCTGAAGTGGATTGTTACAAACTCTGGTTCTAACTTCTTCCTGGTGACCGCATGTTTTACTGCACGGAGACCAATCAGTCCACATGGACCAACCTCCGTTCACTACAAAATGGGAAAATTTATTGTATGGAGACCACACGAATGTCGTTATAGGATAATATTAACTTATTATGGGCCGAGCGACAAAGGAGCGATACTTCACGGTACAGACCGAACAAGCGAGTTCAAACAAGTGAGGTATGGAGTTTACGGACCGCTCATCAACCCTCATCAACCCAATCAGAATAAAGGCTTTCGTAAAGCCATATAGTAAGTATCATATATTTACATAATATACATTCCCTACATGCATGAAGATGGTACTCGGGAATAGGGATAATTTGTAGTAGGATATGACACCGAGTGGCAGCCCGCCATGGCAATTCAAGTAGAATTTTCTGCTTGCCATGGCGGGCTGCCACTTGGTGTCATATTTCAGCTCGAATCACAAAGAAAAACGGAATGGATGCATAACTCTTTTACCTGGGCAAAGTTGTGTTTCACAGCTCATCGTGACGTTAGTAAGAGTCTGACAAGAATCTTTTTCCTGAAGGGTACATTCTCGTGTTTTGTGCATCACACCCTCACACCCAGATGAGCAAGCACCCCAGCTTGCCCAGGTGGAGAAATTCACATCGTCTTAAAAGAAACATTAAACAGATTTAGTAATGTAAGCGAAGTGTAATAAGTGTAAGTAATCCTGCGATGGCGAGTACAATTCGAGATTATTTGTACCGGTGTTGTCTCGACAAGCAGCCGGGGTTTGAGTTTTGTTGAAAAACAGACGATTGGACTGATAAAAAACGGACGATTGGTGTAGGTGGGTGGGAGGTGCAAAAAATATAAATCTAGCTTCCCTCGCGGTCTAATAAATGAAGCCGCTTACCTAGACAATTGGCTGCATTCTCACATTCTTTCATCTCGTAGAGTGGTCCCAGACAATCGCTCCCACCAAACAATGGTGGAGGATGCGTGCAGTTGCGATATCTGAAACGTGTCCCAAATCCACATGAAGTCGTACAAGCTGACCAATCTGTCCACGGAGTGAAGTTTCCGTTTACTGCAAAGAAGGATATCGGCACTAGGAGCCAGCGAGTTTTACTTTTGCGGAAAAATATAGTTAAATTACACATCTACTGTATTTATACTTACATATCGTTGATAAGAACCGTGAAAGGCAGTCAAAAAGTATTTCATATTCATGAAAAGAAAGAGCTTTTACAAACTATCAAGACTTAATTTATACACACTAAAGGCTTAAAGTGTAAGGTTACCTCTAGCACTTAAATAATAATAAACATAAATTGAACGCTGTTTTTTGCGAACAATATTTTTGAAAAAATCTTGCCCTGACATATTATTTTGACTGGTAAATTTTCATATTTTTCAAGAATACAATTTTTTACCATTGCATGGTTTGTTATAACACTTCATGCTTTGCTCTGTCGAAGCGGTGCAGTATGTTTCCTCTTGTGGTGGATACGTAGGTACAATGGTGCAAAAACGGGTTCTTTTTTGTCTTCCTTCACCACAGTCAACACTACATGATCCCCAGTTACCCCACTGCGAAAACTCGTCATCACCTGCAAGAAGAAACTTACTTGATGAGAAACGTTTAGACTCAAAGGTTCCGCTTCAAAGAGGCAATAGGTTTTCCAAAAATTGGTAGCCAAACTTCCTTAAATATGTACTAATAACTCTTCAGGAAAAGCCTTAGATGCCGTTAACATGATTCCGGTTAGCCGAAACGATGATTTTGAGGTAATTTTGAGGTATATAACATGATTCTGTCAAAGATGAAATGATTTCGGTAATAGCATGTGCTTGTTTGGTTTCCCATTTCATAAAGACTAATTTTGTGAAACAAACCTGGACAATCCACTGGCATAACACAATCAGAATAGTCATGAGAATTCTCAAAGCAGTCGAGGCCTCCATAAAATGGTACGGGATTGGTACATGTACGAGATCGTTCTTTCACTCCAGAACCACAGGACGCGCTGCAGGGACCCCAGTTTGACCACGATGCCCAATTTCCATGCACTAGAAGGAGAAGTCGAAATTTGTAGCTTAACCCCGCTATGTGTTCACACAGACCTAAGTCAGGAAATTCGTCATAACTTGTCAATTAGGTCAATCATCTTGATGTAAATATTTCTTTTTAAATTCAAATCGGTTGCAAAAGCAATTTTAGAATATTTAATATAAGAATTAATGTGTAAGAATTGAAGATCTGATTTTATATCTGTGTTAAACATATTAAATTTTCTTTCTACAAGAAAGCATGCTTGCAAAAATTATGCCTTTGTTGACAAACATGGAATGGAAATTCGGATAGCAAAAGGAAGATAGTCTTCATTAAGTTGATAGGACCCAACAAAATTCAAATCTTTAACTGATTCAAATTCGTCAAAATTGTTTTTAAGATCGACATTCTACCAATTGACGCCACTTTGGACATATATTTGTAATTTGACTTGTCAATTAATATATTTTGACAAAAGCCCACGGATACAAGGACGTGATGTCATCATGTCTTCAGCCCTAATCCACAAGGGCAAAACAATCACAATCTTAATAACATCAATTAGTGTCTTGACTGAATATTGTTTGATAGATATACATGACTTGGAACATGTTTAAAATGAGACCATTTGCTATAGGCCTACCTGGACATGCCCCTTTGTCGCAAGGTTTACTTTGACTGGATTCTGCGGTACATAGGCTGGGATCCGAACCATCTTTACATTTTCTTGTTCTGATACGCGCACCTTTACCACAGGTTTGAGTACATAGTGTCCATCGTGACCATTCCCCGTAACCAGCTTCATCTAGAAAGAAAATCCAATCACGAATCCTACAGGCTTATAAGAGAAAAAGGATTGGGATGCTAACGTGTAACAAGAAGATTGTAGGCCAACTGTGAAGAGAGCAAATAGAGTTTATGTGTCCTTCATTCGGCCAATTTTGGATTAATGCGGCCCTGTGTGTAACTGTTGTGGTGAAGCGAATAGCAACTTGAAGCGAATAGACGGGCTGCTGCGCGATTAGTTTGCACACTGAAAAGCAGTCACAGTAGAATAATGGGTAACGCTTTCAAACAGACAATCCTGCAACACACCTGAGCAGGGAGTGTTATGCTGACAAACTTTGACATCTGAGCTTGGTCCAGAACATCCAGCCCCGTTATATGCAGGCTCGGGGTTAGTACAGGTTCGCGAACGATTTTGAAAACCAGAACCACAGAATCCACTACAAGACGACCATGACAACCACTCTGAATAATTACCATCAACTGAAAGTAATAGATCACCGGTAAGTTTTATAGCTACCAAATGGACTCTTAGTTTTTAGTTAGTCATTACTTTTTGCGATGATTTCCTAATTTTACACTGTCGATTTATCGGACTTTAGACAGCCGCCCTCAGATTTTTTACTTCGATAATTTACTCCGTAAGGAAAAAAATTATAATTCATATCTTACCAGGACATGGTCCGGCATAGCAAGTGATATTCTGAAAAGATGTTCCATTGCAAGTAACCTCGCCGTTGGTTTTGTCTGCGCACACTCGCCTGCGAATACTCTCTCCGACTGAACATTCGGTGTCACATACAGACCACTGGGACCAGATTGCAAACCCAGCTTCGGCTAAAATGACGGTAAAAGTAAACAATGTTGCAATATTGTGATAGACAAAATCCACGACTTTACATGTGGTTTCCTTGATTACACTCTACTTGGCTTTTAAGACATCTAGCACTAAGGGGTTTACACACGTCAATTAACACCAAAACTACCAGCAGTTCTTCTCAGGACAACACTAACCTGGGGACGGTTGTATAAAACTCTTTAACAACACTTTGCATAGTTAAATCCTAGTTAAATCCTGGCGGCCGGACGATAAATAACTCAAAGATTCTCATAAATTTCCTCTGAAATTAAGTTATGCCTATGATGTGTCGTATTCTCACTAAACAATTTCGCTCTGTCATCATATTTCCTGTGGTTCCCTGTATTAAAATTATTGTGCTATTTTCCAATACAAACAATTTATAACTTCATAAATAAGAAACATGTACACATGTACTTACCTGGGCAAGTGTTTGGCATTGAGCAAAATCGTTCTTCCTCGCTCAAACCTAAGCAATCACTTCCTCCAAGAGCCGGCTCGGGATTGGTACATTTTCGCGTCCGAAGAATTTTGTCTGAGCCACAAGCTACAGAACATTTCGACCACTGGGTCCATTCTGTAAAGTTTCCATCGACTACAAAAAAGAATGACAAATACAAGTCGGAGAAATAAATAGTTTCAGATGCCGAAACTATGCGAATGTTATAGAAGATTTTGAATTTTCACTTAAATAATTGATGTAATTGAGCAGTAAAGTGACTGTTCTCGAAAAATATATTTTGCAGATGGGAATCCAGCCTTAGCTGGATTGAAAGGTTGAAAAACTGGAGAAAAAATGAATCAATTTCAACACGAACGTGGGAATAAATAAAAAAATTATTAAGAGAATGTTAAAAGGCGTTTGTGGTAGTTTACCTGGGCAATCTGGAATCAGACATTCCAGAGTTTCCGAAGTAGGGCCAGTACAGCCGCTACCACTTTCATTAAGACAGTGACGTGTCTTCAATTTGGTCCCAGAACCACAAGTAACACTGCAGGGTGTCCAGCTTGACCAATCCGTGTAGCTACCATCACCTAAACAGTAATTGATGTACCGCTCGTAAAATTGAATGAGCGTGCAAATATAGAACATGAAATATTGGAACCGTTAGGAAGGAAGAGAAAGAATATATGAGCATGCTTTCTGAACAAACCTTGACATCCTATGATCTCACAATCCTGAATCAATTCTCTTTCCCCAACGCAATCTTTTCCTCCATGTTTTGACGTCGGATTATCACAAAAGCGCCTTCTTCTCTTCACGCCAGTACCACAGGTTTTGGAACACGCGCTCCACTCTTTCCAATCTGAAAATCCCCCGTTAACTATGAGGGAACAAAGAACATTGTTATTGCTATGGTTATTGCAACTTTTGTTGTTATTGTTGACTGTCGTTTTGATTGTTGCTGTTGGATTGTTGTTTTCTTGTTACTGTTGTCGTGGTTATAGTGGTTGTGGTTAATTTTGTTGTTGTTATTCTTGTTACAGTTGTTTCTGTGGTTATTGTTATGGTTACTGTTGTCGTTGTTATTGTTGTTGTTGTGCTTATTGTTGTTGTTGTGGTTATTGTTGTTTTGGTTATTGTTGTTGAGGCTTTTCTTGTCATGGTTAGTGTTGTTGATTTTATTTATGTTATCATGCTAACTTTTGTTGCGGCTGTTGTTGTTGTTGTGGATTATTGTTGTTGTTGTTACTGTTGTGGTTGTTGTTACCACTGTTGTGGTTATTGTTGTTGTCAATTATTGTGGTTATTGTTGTTGTTAATTACTGTTGTTGTTGTTTTTGTGATCACTGTTGGTATGGTGAGTATGGAAATTGTTGTTGTTATTGTTGTTGTTTTTTATGTTGTTGTTATGATAGTTGTCTTCCTGCTCATTATTGCTGCTGTTGTTGTTCGTTGTACTGTTGTCTTATTATTGTTTTCGTGGTCATCATTGTCGTTGTGGTTATTATTGTGGTTATTATCGACTGATGCTAGATTGCTCTGGGTTTAGACGGTATTACAACTGTTACTGAAGCATTACATACCAGGGCAAGGAGCATCATTGCAATCAAAAGTTTGAGCAGTGGCTCCTTTACAGAAGGAGTCTCCAGGATTGGCCATTGAACATTCTCTAGCACGCGTCTTTTCACCAGGTCCGCAGGTCACACTGCACAAGCTCCAGGCAGACCATTCCCCAAAACCAATCTCATCTGAGAAGAAATGCAGTGCTTATATCAGGCGGAGAAATGATTTGCTGCTATATTATTAGAACTAGATTTAAAACAATCTTGGCAAAATTTGCAGTTGAAATGGCTGAGTGAATGGATTATCCAATTTCATTCATAACATTAATCAGAAAGTTGACCTTTTTGCCTTAAACTTGAGGCCTATGCTAACTGATACAAAACGAGAATTTTCAGGTTGCAGAAGCAAATAAAAATACCCCTGATAAGATCATTTAATTCAAGTGGAAGTCAAGTCCGTATGTAAACAAACGGTTTGTTTACATTTTCTACTTCTACACTTTTTAAAATACGTTGTGTTGTCTCAATATATAAGACACATTATTATGAGCAGAAGCGGTGCGCAGTACGGACTTGACTTCCACTTTAATTAACGAATTTCCATAACGAAACCGAGTGATTATGAGCATTGAGATCTTCTAACAAAATGCCCTAATCGCATTTTACTGTTTTTACATGTATGTTTGCTTTCTACTTGCTAACCTGCACACATTGCAATTAAAACACATTGCTTTGTCTCTTTTAAAGGATCCTCGCAATCTTTTCCACCATGGGCTGGGGCTGGATTGCTGCACTCTCGACGGCGTACCAACTGACCTGTCCCACACGTAGCCGAACAAACGGACCAATTCCCCCATTCCGTATACCCCCCGTCCACTGAAATAGAAAGTAAGCTTAATTTAATACATTTGCACGAGCCTTATTAAACCAACGGCTTGGAACCCGAGGGGGAATTGACTTTATGTACGTTCAGTGGGGTAGCCAGCCCGACAATTTAATCATACTATGCTAATATTATTTTGGTGCTCATTGACTGTGAAAACAATGAATTTCTAAAGAAATGAATAATGGAAATAACATAAAATTTGAATAGCTAGACTAAATCGTCAGGCTGGCTACGCCACTGTCTACGTTAGGGTCAGGTATTTGGGGCAATCGGGTAAGATATAAATTATGAAACTATTTTTGTCTTGGTTACTGTTACGTATTGCCTCTAACACTCCCCTTAACAAAAAGACGCTGGTTTTAATCCACAGGGTTTAATAATGTGATAATAATATTATTTAACAGATGAACTGAAATAGCGGGAAAAGACTGGGTCTAACTGTGAGATAAAAATCCATTTCTCGGTTGAAACAACAGCTGGGCATTTTGTACGGAGCATGCGCGAACTTGGCATCCACGCACACGAAACGCCTTCGTAGTTTTCGGAAAGACCTCGTATATTTAAATTTAAATAATGGCGGCTGATAGGAGTGAAGATAGTTGAATATCTTTTGCAGTAAAAGAAAGAATTCGGCACTTTACGAAAAGAAGAATATCATGTACGTGTAACTGCTGGTTTTGTTGTATCTTGTGGTACAAAACATGGCATTGAGAAAGCATCTGAATGATCTAAATTAGCAAACAATATGTTGGTTTGTCACACTCACAACTTTGTTCGTCACTTTCGTGTGGAAATTAAGAATTTCAGTCACAATGTGGTCGTCGTTGGTTAGTTAGCAGTTAAGGAAGCATTTATTGCAGGAAGCTTTCAGTCATTTGTCAGCTTTCAGCTGGACATTAACTTAAAAAAGCCACCAGAATCTTCACAGTGGGACTATGGCATGAGAGTATTGAAACCAAAATAGTTATGTTCATTTTATCAGATGTTGATCTTTCCATATTAATCAATTTATAAAATATATACAACTGTGCTATGCAAACAATCTCGACTCCTCTACATCATTTATTTAATAATTTTTATAAAAAAAAAGTGAAATATGGACAGCTGTAGCAACAGTCTCAGGCCAAATTGAGCTCAAACATATATATTTCCACCTCCCTTAGGAAAATGAAAGGTTCTAAAGATTCCCCATTATTGTATTTTGATGCAAGCAATGTTATACTAAATTTTTGCTCAAATAATTTTATTATACTCTAGTTAAATGATCAGAAATAGGAAGTAACATATCCCACAGGCTAATTTATATGTTTGTTTACAGACAAAAATAAGTATTGTGCGCATTTTTCTCAGCATGCCCACTAACTTTTTTATAAAGTTTGAACAATATGGATAGTTTTAAGTCATGTTTCGGAGAGAGGCACTGGTAAAAATTTTAAAATATTTTTATATATGTGCCACAGCATCACATAATTTCACAAAGCAAGCATGGCCATATTAAAGTTTGCGGTTAGATTCTTAAAACTTACCAAATCAACAGGACTTTTCATAATTCATAACAACCAATACTTGGACATATTAAAATCACTTTTGCAGCAATTTTTACATCATAACAAACTCATGCAGAAGGAAGTTCGTAAGTATGTTACAATATGGCATTTTCAGAGTATAAGTGGTTTGTGAAATTACAACATCTAGAGCATTTTTCCCATGAGTGGCTAATGTTTCAATAAAACAAAACATGATTTAACTTTCATAAAATATACTTTATAACTGAAGGCAAAGGTCAGTTTTCACGAAATCGAAAGAGGAAAAGGTGTTATTTCTATAGAAAAATGCATGTTAAGGTACTTATTATTTCGCGTGAGAAGGGACAAATAGATTAATGAACACACCAGTGGAAACAACAATATGTCAGCTTCTGTCAAGAGTAAAATAGGGTTAATTCGTTGTTTGCATACTGCTGTAACCAGGTCCTGAAACTTTGACAATGAGTGAAATACTTCAACTTGTCGCCCATTTGCAAATAAAAATCCTTCGCAAATATTTACGAGAGAATGTCGTTATACCCTTGTATGCAAGCACGGGAACGTAATCTTTGAATACACCCTTTTATTTTCATGAACAAACCAGTAAAAAAGGAGAAAAAGCTCCTCAAAATACATGTTTTTGGCGTTCGAAGAATTAAAATTCTTCTTGAAGAAATGCGCCCGCAATTTTTAGACAGCGACAACAAAATGCCCAGCTGTTGGTTGAAACAATTTGGTGCATGTCACTTGAAATATAATTTATTTCAGTTTGAAATTTTATGTCTGTCAGAGCTGTAATCTTTATCACTGAACATAAAAATTCTTCAAATAGTTTCATAAGGGAAAATAAAAGATATAAAAACTGCAGAATGAATTTCTATTTCGAAAACCTTCTGAGCAGTGATTGGCTAAAATATAATTTTCACCATATACTAGGTTTGGTAGGGATTCAAATACATTACCCATCAATTTACCTGGGCATTTGGGAACCGTGCATGCCTTGGACTGGACGCTCTTGGCCGTACACCCTAGATCTTTGTCAGCACAAGTTCGGCTCCGTGTTTGGAATGCAGTACCACACGTGTTGTTGCAATCTAACCACGCAGCCCAATTGCCGAACCCGGCCTCACCTAATGAAAACAAGATAAAAGGCTTCAGAATATCAGCTTAAATTCCCTAAAATCAACAGGGACCGCGGAGCGTTTTTCGTATTGCTGGGGCTCGGAACCGCGCGCCTGCTAGGAGAGTCCGGGAAAATTTTGAAATATAGGTCTCTGAAATTGCCGCAAATGCCTTTCAATTTAAGGATTAATGGAAAATAATAGATAGATTGTAAAGTTTCCAGAATGTTTGGCGCTCATAACAAATATTAAACAATATAACCTTGCTTTGGTTATGATGTCAAATATTTTGAAATGGATAACCACGCTGTTTTAATGGTCAAATGCCTGTCCATTGTAAAGTTTCCAGCATGTTTGGCGCTCATATACAAACATTAAACAATATAACCATGCTTTGGTTATGATGTCAAATATTTTGAAATGGATAGCCACGCTGTTTTAATGGTCAAATGCCTGTCCATTGTAAAGTTTCCAGCATGTCTGGCGCTCATATACAAACATTAAACAATATAACCATGCTTTGGTTATGATGTCAAATATTTTGAAATGGATAACCACGCTGTTTTAATGGTCAAATGCTTGCCATATGTAAATTTTCCAGCATTTTGGCGCTTGTATTGCTTGTAAATTTGAGCGAACTAAAAAATATTCGAAATTAAAGACTAATTACGGAAAAATTATTGGTGGGGCTAAAGCCCAGCGAGCCACCCTGCTCCGCGGTCCCTGATCAAAGTATGCAAATTTGAGGCGGTCAAAAAGACTGGTATTCACCCAGGAAAATTGTCGTCAAAATTCACCTGCACACAATGTTCCTGCCTCACAATCAGCAATTTCTTTGTCTAAACCAACGCATTCATTGCCACCATGTGCTGGCTGGGGGTTTGAACAAGTCCTGGTTCGTTGATGATTTCCTGAGCCGCACGTGACTGAACAATCTCCCCAAGAGCTCCAGGTTGTCCAATTGCCATTCACTGAACATCGTCAGAAATGAAAGTTAACATAATGAAAGTGAATTAGTGCAATGACCGTAGACGGGAATGAAAGTGAAAGTAATGAGAGTGAATGTAATGAAAGTAAATGTAATGAAAGTGAATAGAAATAACAGTTGAACTGAAATAAAATTGAAATGAAAGTGAACTGAAATGAAGGTGAACGGAAACGAAAGCAAACGGTAAGGAAAGTGAACTGAAATGAAAGTGATGGTGACGGCGAAAAAAGTGGACGGAATGAAGTGAAAAGAAAGGGATGGATTGATAGTGAACGCAAATGGAAGTAAGCGAAACGAAACTAAATTTTAAAAAATTGGAAGAACAACAAAACTATTGCTGACGTACCGGGCGCTACCGCTGGAGCCACGGTGGTTGAGGCAGGCGGGGCAATGGTGCCTAGCCGTAATGGGGCGTTGGTTTTCGGTGTAGAAACAAACGTTGGTGAAGGTTGTGGCAAAATTGTCGCATTGAAATTACTGGTCACGAAAGGAAATATTTGTCCACCACCACCAGAATCTTGGGAACGATAGCCACCAGAACCTTGGAAACTTTTTCCACCAGAACCTTGGGTAGCACTTGGACGAATTGAGGCACTTGAAGTATGCTCTAATGAATTGAAAAACGATTAAGCGCACCAATATTACGACGATAGCAGAAGTGCTGAGACATCTATTCTGTGGTTGCACATTTCCGCATGTAATACAAATTTACCAACTTCGTATGGCTATATTTTCTGTTTCTATGGAGCTCTGAAGTACATACCATGTTGGCAAAACTTTCCCTCATATCCCAACTGACAGTGACAAAGAAAGCCAGTCTCATTACTTGGTTTGCAGATGCCTTCGTTTCTGCAAGAGTTACTTTCCGCACAGTAATCTAAAAATAAATTGTATTTTTTCTTCTTGCCAACTGGCTGACCTGAAATCATGAAGTCACGAGGCGTCTCGACAAAACCGACCTACATGTCATGCCTGGAGTCATTTGTCCTCTTTTCCCTACCATAAGGGCTGCTTTTCACTGTCGCGTTATTTTACGCGCGGGAAATTTTAAGTGCTTCCAAATTGTAATCCAAATTTCGATTTATTCACTGATGAAAAAGCAATCAAATATGACATAATTTTTATATAAGGCTTTAGACTTTAACGTGCGTGTACGTGTGTATGAAAAACCCGACAGTAGAAAACAGGCCTAAAGCATTTAAAACTTCAATCATACATGGTACCGTTAACTGAAGCCGAAAAAACTTTCCTTAATGACCTACTTAAAAACACAAAGTTTGACTTGCCAATTGCGGTTTTTTTGGCACATCCGGTAACCAAATACATGCAAAGGTAAATTATCCCATCTTATGGCAGCACAAAATTCTACTCTTTTATCATTGTACAATTCTTATTTATCATCGCACCTTGGAATAATCGCTACTTCAAGATGAATACCTAACGAGAGAACGTCAAATTCTTACCGTAAGGACAGGCTTTGATGTCGATGCGAGCACATTTGCCATTTATCGGATCACGTTGAAAGGAACGAAACACTAATTTAACCCGAAATGCTTGACGAGGATTAAAGTAATGGTAGATCGTATCACCTGGTTTATGTGGGCCACGTAATTCCTGAAAGCATGAATCGAATTGGAGTTATTCAGAAGCTATACTCTATAACTTTTAATTCGAATCAGTGGCGCATATTAAACCATATATTTTTAGGGGGAGGGGTTAATTAACGATTATTCGAAAGCAAAGGATAGATATAAATATCGCTGAATAAAAACCGAGGCGAATAGTGGTTTCGGTATAATTACAAAGAACATGGTTCACACAAGCACATCACTACGGTCACTATGTCGTTACTGAACTCACAGCGAAGGTGGAGTGAAGCGCAACTAGGTTTCTATGCTTACACGATGCGAACCGATTATAACATCCTCCCAATCGCCAGTTAGACGGGTTGAAGCTCCGACTCTCGTGTAATAGGACATGATGGAGATATTCGAGGCTGTTCCAAAACCGAAGCCATAAACACGTACTGCGCTAGCGAAATTTATTTCTAGGGAAGGGTCAGCATTTTCTTTTGAACACCATGCACCGATATCACTCAGTGAATAGTTTTTGAAGCCATCTTCAAAGTCTGAAGGAACAACTTCGTGAGCAATTTCCGTCCACGTTGTGTCGCATGCTGTATAAAGACATAAACAATTGCAGTTTAAAACAAAACATAAACAATTGCAGTTTATACGAGCCAAATTTTTAGTGACAAAAATACCCGCGAAGATGACAAGTAAATAAGCCCCAAAAGACCATTATTAAAACGAATATTTCTTAAATTATAGCGTAAAAATAAAAGTAGGATAAGTTTTACTTATCTAAAGATGTCTTTTAAGTGTTTTTGTTTGTATTTCCAACGTTAATTTTGTTTTATACACGAACTAAAGACATCAGTATTTTCACAACAACAATGAAATTGGCGGGAAATTTTTGAAACTCGTTATGTCCACGTGACATACAGAAAATACGCGCCCCTGGTCCCGGATGTAGTGACGTATGAGTTCTACGAGTGTTTTAGTTTCCAGTAAAAAAACCCTGTCAAAAGTCGAGATGTTTTTCGGCCTACTTTAGACAGTTTTTACTAAACCCTTGATGCAAAATAGTCACAATTTTCATGTTAATTAGGTCCTTTGCGATCGGAACATCTTGGCAATTGAACCGAAATTGTGCTGAAGTCATTTTTTATGGTTGCATTTTCCACAGGAACTTTTTGACTCTCAATAGTGTCGTGAACATAGCTAACCGTTACAAAATCAACAAGGTAAATATATGGCAAATCTGTTCTATTGAATAAGCGAAATAAACTTTGTCAATAACAAGATCGATATCGATAAGCCACTAATGCAAACAAATGATTTAAATGCATGCAGTAGTACGTATTAAAAGGTTTGTAACATGTTTGTTCACAAAAAAAAGAGATCTTACTGAAATTTTCACAGTGGACACCGCTGATTCCATTGTTACAGCGACAGGTATATCCGCCAGCCGCAATTCTATCCCCCGTTCCCCCATGATGACAAGGATTTGACAGACATGGATTCGGGCGTGCATCTAAACATAATGCATTAATAGTTGATAGCTATATTCCTTATTGGCCGGAGTTTGGGGTATGTACACAACAGCACTTCTCCTTCCAGTGCACTTCTAAATTATAGCCTAAACATTAAAGTAGAGTAAATTTTGCTTATCTACAGATGTCTCTTTTAAGTGTTTTTGTTTGCATTCCCAACGTTAATTTCGTTTCATACACGGGGGAAAATTTTGGATATAGACGCATATGAGTTCTACAAGTGTTTTAGATCTCAGTAAAGGCGATTCCGACCGCTTCGCAAGACTGTCCCCGTAGCTCCGGCGCTTCAGCCTGCCCACATCTGAATCCCCACCGAATCAGCTCCTTGATGGAAAACATAAAATCCAAGGGGTGTTTTAAACTGATATCCTAGCTGAGTTAGAAAAATGTTTGTTAGAAAATTCCGGGCATTCTTCAGCACGGGTAACTTACCGCAGGCGATTAGTTCGAATCTCATACAAGGTTGATCTTTCCAAGTCTGTGGTCTAATAACTAGTTCAGTAATACTTAGTGTTTGAAGTGGAATGGAAGTATCGAAAAAATTAATCGCAAATCCATTTCGATCATTATTTCCTTCCAAAACCTATGCAAATAAAACATAATTGTTTTCAAGAAAAAAGCAGCGGAATGTAGGTACTGGAATGATTTCAAAAACAGCAAGCCATTTAAAGTGCCGGGAGCTATATTTCACATACCTCATTACCACCAAAAGTAATCCAATTTTCCGAAGGCCCAACTTTGAAGGACTTGACCCATCTGTTGGTGCCTCCACCTCTGGTCATGATACCAAAAACCTAGAAATAAAACACAGTATGGACTATCGAAGGGGTACCATTCCGGAACGAAAGCTTAGTACACCCAACTTTTCGACCCAAAAATATGTATAAATTTCCATCGAAAAACCGCCCGCCTTGTCATAGCTCGCTTAAAGGTCGACACAGACCGGACGCGAATTGGCAACGCGGCGCGAATTTTCAACGTTTTTAATTTTTCAAAATCAAATAAATTTTAAACTATCATAATATTCTTGTAGATTACGTAACAATAAAACATTTTGACTGCTCTAGCGTCCATAATTTCCAAATTTTACTTCCAGAATTTAATTTATATGCTTCTGAAAACTGAAAATTCGCGTCGCGTTGCCGCATCGCGAACGGTCTGTGTCGGCCTTAAGAAGTGTAAGAGTTGTGAAATATGTTTCAGTGGGTTTTTACACAGACATCAAATCAAATCAATTCTGCTACAATATTTAATGTCCATAATTTCAATAAAAAAGAAACTTGTCTCGAGTGAATGTGCTTTCTTGAAGTTATAAGAAAAAATATGTGGGCTGTCTTGGATATGGGTATTTTTTTCTCACAACAGCGCAGGACAACATTGTTCGCTTCAGGGGCCAGTTGTATAAAAGACTAGTTAACTGTTAACTGTAGTTAAGGATAAAATTGGCTAATCAGAGCTGTGCATTTCTGAGTTAACTAGGATTTAACTATATGCAAAATGTAAGGGTTCAAAGGATCTAAATTTCGAGTGGAATTATACACACTTTAAATTCAAGCCGGGAACAGTTGATGAAAAATGAGTCAACTGTCAGTGCTTAACCACGCTTGCTCTTGTCAGCTACCTCTGTATCTGGCAAGAGCATTGCACCGGCATCGCAAAAGCGTAGGTTCGATTCCTGCCGGAAGACCAATAGTTGACTCATTTTTCATCAACTGTTCCTGGAATTTAAAGTGTGTACAATTCCACTCGAAATTAAGACCCTTTGAACCTTTAGAATTTACCTACATCGAGTGAAGTGCCAAAAATCATATGCAAAATGTAGTAATAGCATAGTTGATCGGGTTTCTTTTGTTTTAACCGGGTCGGTCCACAAACCTGCCTCGGGTTACGGGGCCATTTAATCACTAATCTCCCTCAAGCCATGTTATTACTTATAATTAAACAGTGTTATACAACCGGCCCAGGATGTAATAACCTGATCAATTTTTAGCCGTACAGGGATCGAAAGACGCTAATATCTGACCTGTGAATCACGTTGTGACACACGTACACCAAGCGTTGGGCTCGATTGGTCATTTGTACACCAGCCATTCCAATCGTAAAGCCTGCTGTTATAAGGTTTATTCCAAAATTGATCATCGTCGCCGATGAACAACGAACCCGGAAATGCGTTACTATCTTGTAAACCAAGTGTTCTCCAGCAGTTGGTCATCGATGATTGATCAGCCAGCGCTGAAAATTCGAAGGAGGAGTTTCAGTTTTCTCAAGGTTGTTTTCTCACACGTATGCCGAACAAACAACGAACAACAGTAAACAGTTAGTAAAACTAAGTTGGGCAAAAATCTGACCACTCAACTCAAAGAAAACGGATCTTTTTGGAGGCGGTTAACCTTCAAATAGTATATAATTAGGTTAAAATATCATCTCCATAATCTAAGAATATAAATCTCAATCTTATCCTTTGTAGAAAGCAGTATGGTAAGTGTTATTCCGGGATTTTTAGACATGGAACTGCTACCTATAATTTCAAGGGTGATTGTTGAAGATTGGGACAATGGAGTAGTGTGATCATGCATATAATTATGCAAGTTCTTTGACCACAGCTGATCAAATCTAGTTGGACCGCGGACTGCTCCCTGATGGCATAAATTTTGTATTACTAAAATCAAGTGCAGGGCTCTCACAATTTAAATATGCATACTTTTTACTGTGGGGGAGGATGAGAGGAGGAGAGTCTGCTGAGACAAAGAACATTTGAAAAGAATATATTAAATATTCCTCCCTCCCTCCCTCGAAAGCGAATGAAACTTTTCAAAGGAAATTTCCTTAGAAGTGAGAACGCTGGTCAGATGGCGCTGCTATATGCATCCGACCGAATCTGGTGATAAAAATTACCAGATCTGGTCGCACCGCGATAGGGAATCCAAGAGACGGGTTTTTCGTTTTTCGATAAGCAGTGTCTATTTAGGTGAATCAATTAAGCGTGCATTCGTTACTTACACTTCTGGCAGCCATAGAGTTCAACACGCATACATGGATAATGTCCAGAAAATTCCAATACGTTCAGACGTACTCCGGTAGCTTTTAGAATAGGAAGAAAGCGATGTTTGTTTATCGAATACGAATCGTTGTGATGGTTAGTAAAAGGCTAAAGATGAGTAAAAAAATAACACAAATAAGTTTGTGTTTTAAGATCTGTCAAAATTAAGTCAAAATATATTGCCTAAACTATATCTAGCCACTTATTCTTAAATATCTATCCATTTGAAATCCTTCACTCACTGTTCCAATCGTTTGCATAGAAAATTGCTAAACTGGTTTCTTGCTGTTGCTAATTGGCTAACAATTGGTAGCTGTAACAGACAGCCATTGCTCGATTCAACCAATTTCTTCAACGAATGTATTGATAAAATCTGGTACATTTTACATTTGCTTTTATTTCTTATCCTTATACCAACGTCTGCATTAAAAACCTACCCCCAAATACTTTGAAACAATTGCCGTCTCTTTCACTGTTATGTTAAATGTCTTGACATAATTGTTTCCATTGGGATCTCCTTGCATCGCGAGCGCCAAGACGTAAGTATCACTATACAAGGTGATTTGTAAAAACATGGATTCGGAAAGTGGTGAGCACCAAGCTCTTTGGGGGTGATTCAAACGGGCGTACATAGCAGAAAACTCGTTATTAATAGGTGTGCTTGAGGTCAGTTGGCCATCGTGGATTGAACGTGTGCTGTCGTCGACTCCAAGTGGGTTTTCACATTCAAAATATTTGCCTTGAGCTGAAAATAGGAACGAATAGTTAAGTCTCTGTTGCGCGGTACAATTTTTCCTAGCATTTGGAAAACAATGCTACTTTTTGCAGATGTAGATTTGGTAACTACGAAATTTTTGTATTTATTAGGATGGATTTGCACTTGCAGAGAAACAGTTTGACGGTTTCATTTCAAAAGGAAATATGCAAATAATTCGCTAGCGAACTATTTCTCGGCGAGTGGAAATCCAGCCTAACACTTGCATTTTGAAGACTCTTTACAATATTTATATTTAGAAAAAGTGGAATTGCATTATAAGTACTAGTTGCGAGATAATTTGAACCGTGTAAGCGGACCTCAGCATATTATCTTTCGGACTTCTTTTGGTAATCTATTTTCTCAAACTGTCGGCTGGTACTAGTCTTTATAATCTCATTTGTTGGACTGCATAAAAAGTTTCAAGTAAAGTCTAGACGAGTCAAGATTCTATAAAAATGGGACTTGGAATGAGGATGAAATATGTTCAAGTCTAAGGCATTCTTTATCAAAGTATGGAAGTGGTGTTCCAACTATTACTTATGGTACTTACATATTTCGCAGAGAGATCCGGAAAAACCGAATTCACAACGGCAGTAGTAGTTTCCATTAGCATCCGTTAAACACTCGCCTTGATTAACGCAGGCGAGATTACATGATTCTTCAAGAGAAAATATATTCATTGGCTTAAAAGAATGTGAGATAGCTATGTGGAAAGCTCACAACGAAAGGCATCAACATAAATCAGAGCGAGGAAATAAACATTTAGCGACGTCAATGCTATGCGGCTTTAGATTCGACTACTCGGGTCCCGCTACCCCTACGAGATTTGCCATATTGCGTCTTCTGCATGCGTTTGAGTGAAACCGATGCGCGAATACGAGATGGATATTACCTTTGAAAGTAAATTATAGATATCATTTCAGGCATCTTGCTTGGTGAAAATAAATACCTTCACAATTAGTTCCACTGTATGCCGGCTCACAAGCACATTGGTATCTAATCGTGGGAGATTGAACCACAGAGCACGTTCCGCCATTTCGACATGGGTTGGAATTACAAGGATTTACTGCAAGGTAGTCGGTCCAAAAGATTATTTTTTGGCAAGGGATCCACGTATAGCGAACAAAATTGAAAAAAGTAAATTATTCTTAAAAATAATCATATTTTTTTACAAAT